CCCTCTCCCTCCCCAAGCCTCAGCTGACCCGCTCAAAGCAAGCGGTAGACGCACCGCCTTTCGAATCAATGTTTCCTAACGGCGTTTTCCCCGGTGTCTTTGTGTGTGGTGAGGTGGGCACGGGTCGGTTCGGCCTTTCTGGAAAGAAAAAGTAGAATTGCACACATATTCCTTCGGGGAGGAATCCCACCCGAGGGAAATAAATCAGGGACCGAGATTTGCGGTCAAAATAGGTTCACCGCGGTGTGTTTTGATGCTCTTGAAAGGCTGAGAAGAGAAACAGACGCGGCCCGGGCGACAGCAGGAGTTTACAGCGTGCTCACTCTGCGGCCCCTCGAGGTCATGGCACACGTCTCGCTGGGGGGCAGAAGCCTACGACAGAAAGTGAAACACAGGAGCGCGCACGCTGTCCGACCCCAGCGATGGCACGGCACGGCCACAGGAGGGAAGGGCGTGGCGAGTCTGTAGGATCGAATTTCGTTGGGGATGTTTTCTCCATTTTCCGAACGTTTTATATCTGGTGTAATAACAACCGTAAAACAGCTGAGTGTTGAAAAACGTCAAATACGATGAGTAGGGAGGGGGGACCTGCCGTCCGGGCTCCCGTCCAGCTTTCGCCGGCCGTCCTCGGGGTCCGCGAGGTGACCGCGGAGACCGGGGCTCCCCCTGCCTCGGTGGCGGGCAGCGACAGGTCCCACGCCTGGAGTCAGCGATCCGCCAACCGCGGGGCTTCCCCAGACGTGTCTGCCTGAGGAGATTAGTGGTCTTCTAAAATCTTCCCAGGCGCCCGAGAAACGTCAAAGCCGTTGGAAGCAGGGCAGCCGCCGGCCGAGCTCACCCCTGCTGCACCACGGAGCGCCCGTGGCCCCCCACCCACCCGGGGCCCAGTGGGCTTTCCGCCGGACACGTGAGCTCTCCCTGCCATTTAGGCGGGCGGCCCCGTTGCTGCCCACACATCTGGGCTTTGGGGACCCCCTCCTGGCTCTGCTGGACCACCCATCCCCAGCTGCCAGGACACACGGGCCCGCCTGGCGAGCTGTCACGAGGGTAGGGAGCCTCCGGGGCCTCCCCGGCGAGGGTCGCTCCCCGCCGCCTCTCGGTAGGTCAGCCCAGACGAGGCCGCCTGCAGAGACGAGGGGTGGGGCTGCAGAGGCCGGTGGCCAGTGTCCGGGTCTAGCTGGCAGCTCGCCTGGGACTTCCGTGAACCAGACCCGTGCCTGCCCAGTCAGCCGCTGAAGACGGACAGGATTCAGAAGCTGAAAGGCTGAGACGGACAGACAGACAGGCCTCAGAGGGAGGTGGAGCGGGAAGGACGGACGCAGAGGCTGTGACGCGGAAGACGCCCCCGGCCGAGCGCGCTCACCCTGGGGCAGACGTCTGCGGTGCCCACGACGCGCCCCTCCAAAATCAGCACACGCTGAGGAGGTGATGGCACCTCGTGCCGTCCAGACAGCGGGAAAACCATAAAATCCGCAAACACGTTGCCAGGGGCCTGTCAGTTAGCACAGCCTCGTAGGGAAGAAATTGGGCAATGCGTGTTGCCAGGGCTACTAAAACGTCTATCCCACCTTCCGCGGTAATCCCACCGCCGGGAACGTGTGGGAAGCACATAATTCAACCGAAAAATGGCAGACTTGTCCGTAGGAGCCGACGAGTGCAGGGACAACCCTCGTGTCCGACGTGCTCCAGTGTGGCCGCCGTGAGCGTTTTTAGACATAGGGAATATGAAGGCTATCTGACAACGTTTAAGGATCCTTAAGAATCCTTGCAAACAAGCAGAAAATAAAACTACCTACACGTGAAAATTAATAATTACGTAAAGCAGCCGCCGGGACGTTGGGGCGGCCCCGCCTCTGCTGGTGAACGTGGTCTGTGCCTCCCCGCTGGCCACACAGACACTCCTGTCTTCCCCGGGGGCCTGCCCTGCTGTGCCCTGTCTGGGGCTCTCTAACCGCGAAGCCGCAGACCTCAGGCTGGTGGGGACACAGTCCCGGCCGAGCCCGCCCACCCGGCCAGCTCACCCTGGTGGCCCCACGGGGTCTGGGTGATGCCCGCTAAGTCATTCCAAGCTCACACCTCGAGGCACCAAACCAGAACAGATACGGGGGCGCTGGGTGTCGGGTTAGGAAAAGGGACGAATGGGGGCGCCTGGGTGGCTCAGTCGGTTGGGCGTCCGACTTCGGCTCAGGTCACTATCTCGCGGACACGTGAGTTCGAGCCCCGCGTTGGGCTCTGTGCTGACAGCTCAGAGCCTGGAGCCTGCTTCAGATTCTGTGTCTCCCTCTCTCTCTGGCCCTCCTCTGTTCATGGTCTGTCTCTCTCTGTCTCAAAAATAAACATTAAAAAAAAATTTAAAAAAAAAAAAGAAAAGGGATGAATGAAATGGCTTTGAAGGCTCTTGCTGTTTGCAGGCGAAACCATCTGGGTAAGCCCGCGCAAGTCCGGACGCCCAGCTACAGCGTCACGGGGCGACGGCGCTTTGTCACGGACTGAGCCCTCCCGGCCTACCCGGCAGCAGGCACGGACCTGAGCCCGAATCGCCCTGCGCTCCTGGCGACCAGCATGGCCCACGGCACCGCGTAGGGACCCCGTACACGCTGGGGAGAGGGAGGGGACGGGAAGGACCGCGCGGTGCGTGGATGAACACGTCCCCTCGGGCAAGTGTGTCCTTATTCAGAGCCCGTCTGCCTCCAGATGCCCTTTGCCGGTGTTCCCACGAGGCTGCACCCCGCCAGCCGGCCCAGCCTGTGCCTGCCGCACAGGGGCCAGGAACGCTGGGTGACGCGGCTGTGTCCACACCAACCTAACCTCGTTCGTTTGGTCCACGCGTGCTCACTGGACAAAGAGAGGCTTTAGGACGGTCCCTGCCCTTGATGGGTTTCCAGTTGCCCGGGAGGCACGGGGGCAGGTCAACGAGGCAGCGTCCCAGGGGGAGCCACACGGGTGCTGTGGGGGGAGGTGCAGCGGGGGCGTGGGAACACCCAGCAGGTGGGCTCGGGGGTGCGGGGAGGCCTGGGCAGGGCCTCGGGACAGGTTGCACGCCACCCAGCAGAAGGAGCATCCGAGCGTCTGCTCAGGGTCCACCTGGGCCCCCCCCCGGCCGCCCACGGAGGAGCCAGCGACCCCGCGCAGACCCACGGGGATTCAGGGGCAGCCTCGGTCTGAGTCCCAACAGCGGAGGGTCCTGAAGTCCCTCCTGACCATTCGTTCACTCATTCATCCGTCCTTAGGGCGAACACGGTGCTGGCCTGCTCTGCACCAGGGGACGGGAAGTCGTGACCCGCAAGCCGAGGTCCTTGTTCTTCCCGTGGGGCGCGCAAACTCCAGTGCGGGCTGTGTAAGTGCCGTGCACAGATCCTCAGGGCTGGGGTTGGGAGCGCCGGAGGTGGGGGAAGGGGCATTTAATCGGTAAAATCAGCACGTGATCGAGCGCCTGAAGGACACCAAGGGGCAGATCGTTACCAAATCCGGGGCAGAGCGCTCAGGCAACAGCCGTGGAAAGTGCACAGGCCCTGAGGATTAGCCGAGGCCAGCGAGGTGGGAAAGGGTGGAGGGAGCCGGGACACAGGGCAAAGGCGGCGGGGAGCCCCCCGGGTCGTGGTGCTGACTCCTGGGGGGCTCCGGCTCAGGCTCAGGGTTCCCGCACCTCCGCCAGGCTCCTGCCACGAGCACAAGGCCCCAGGGCTGGATCCAACAGGCTTGCCCGTGTGGGGGCCCACGCCATGCCCCACCCACAGTGCCCGCTGGCTCGGACGAGGACGGGGGACAGGCCACACGACGCCGGCCCCCGTGGCCCTGTCTCCCTCCGCGGCGGCTCTGGGGAGCACAGGCCGGACAGGAGTGAGCACCCGCAGGGTGTGATGGGAGCACGGCGCTCAGCCCGCGGCCAGGCTGCGTGCCGTGTCGGAGGCGCAGAAGCACCACAAGGGTGTGAGGACGTGGGAAGGGAAGAGTGAAACGTTTCAGAAACGCACCCGTGGCTGCACTTTGCAGACGGGCCAGCAGAGAGGAAGGGGACGGTGGGGGACGGTAAACTGCACTAGTGGGGCCTGGGGCTGGCCGGGGACGGTCCCGAATCCCGGTTTTCCAAAGTGAATGTGGCCAGGGCCCAAGCCTCAATGCCAGGACCTTCCCCTGAAGTATCCGGGGGTGTTCTGACGTCCAAAGAACCCGGTCTAGGGGTAGAGGAGGGGGAAGGGTCCTGCGGCAAGGCCTCGCCGGGGGGAGGACGGCGGGCTCTCCCAAGTGGTCACCCCAAGGCAAGACAGCTGGGGTTTCTATCAACAGCTGCCACCTCGGGCCTGTTGCTTCTTGGCTAAGGTCGGGCCTCGGCCGCCCTGCGGGGATGGCCTGACCTCTGCTGTCCACTGCCTGTCATGGCGCGGACGGACTCGGAGGGGCTCTGTAGCGGGAGGAGGCCTCGGATAGCGCTTTCCTCCAACGGGTTTGAGGGGACTCCCAGTGTGAGCGTGTCCCACAAGGTGACAGCACACAGCACCTCCACAGGCACTTCTCACCTTTACGGTGTGTGAACACTCGGGCAGATTCCGCACTTTTCTGTGTTCGCTTCGTTAATGAGAAGAATGCAGGTTGCCATCCACAGAATTGACGTCACAGTCCCAGATTTTCTTCTGGAGTTTAGTGTGCTGAATGCCCACCCTCGCTTCCCAAGCTCCGGCCACAGATCCCAAACACGCAGTGAACCCCGAATGAGAAACAGGAAGAGGGTGGGGGTGCCTGGGGGGCTCAGTCGGTTAAGTGTCCGACTCTCGATTTCCACTCAGGTCATGATCTCACGGTTCGTTGAGTTCGAGCCCCGCGTCCGGCTCTGTGCTGTCAGCTCAGAGCCTGGAGGCTGCTAGGGATTCTGGGTCTCCCTCTCCCTCTGTTCCTCCCCTGCTCACACTCTGTCTCTCAAAAAATGAATAAATGTTAAAAAAAAAAAAGAAGGCATTGGAATAACACTTTTAATGTACAGAGAGAAAAAGAAAGTAAGGATTCTCTGTCCAGGAAAAAATATATTTCAAACACGAGGACAAACTCACAGCTTTACTGGACATACAACACCGGGAAACCTGCACTGACAAAGGGCTTCGGGCAGGAGGGAGGAAGGTGCGAGGGGACCGAGACCCTCTGCACCCACGCGAAGGGACGGGCCTCCAGTGTCCCTGACGGTGCGAGGGAATAGGACCTTCAGAAGTTGTTATTGACATTTCTAGAAAACATCATCGAATACGCCAGCCACGAACGCGGGGTCTGCGACGTGGGGGACACACAGGAGGACAGCAGCGGAGGCGGGGGACGGGGGCGAACCCTCCAAGGCTCCCGTGCTGCATGCCACGCACATAGCATCCACGTGTGGGCACAGCGTGGTCCGAAACGGGCGCTGCGAACCCTGACGAAACCCGTAACGGGAAACAGAAAGAGTAAATCGGCCAACCCCGTCAATAATCACAGAAAATAGAAGCTGCCTACACATCCCGAGTTAAAGGCTGAAACGATTACGTTAGGAGAAAAAAACCAAGATCCGGCTACATGATACAGCACGTCCTCCATACACGGGAAGACGGGCATTTCCTACCCATAAAGGGCCAATTTATCAACGAGACATGATGACGCTTCTGTACCTAATAACACCTTCAAAGGTGTAATGAGCTGTTTACAGAGTCTCCTGGGAATGAGAGTGTCTGGAGAATTCCATAGAAGTGTCGCTCCTGTCTCTCCTCCTCCTCTGGTTTTAGTCTCGTGCACGGTGCTCTCTGCACATTCACCTTAGGGACACCACGCTCACACTCACCTCCACTTGGCTATGACAAGAAACCGTCCCAGGAGGCAGGAAGCAGTGGTTGTAAGGATGTCTGCTCCCGGCCAAACTGCCTTCGGCCGCTGCGGACTTCAGCTTTTCCATCTGTACCACGAAGATCGACTGTGATGGGGGAAAAATGGGGGTGGGGTGGGTTTAAACAGTGAAGTCTTTCTCTGGGCCACAGCATGCGGAAGCCCCTAGAAGCTGGGTCACGGATCCAGGGCAGGATGCCCAGAGCACAGACCAGATGCCTCACTGGTTCTTCCCGTGGCTTGTGTGACGGGGGGGGCGGCGGGGAAGAGGGTCCTGTTAAGGGCATTCTTTCGAGCCTTTTCCACACAGCTGACCGCGGTTACGCACATGCTGGAGTCCCTGAGCTGCCCTCAGCTTACATTTAAGCGGATGGATTACGAGGACGGTGACAGGTGCTGACTTGTACCTGCTTAGTTTTCCAAACTAACCTGGTCGGCAAGAACCACAGACAGCTACCTAGCTCGATAAACCCAAGGGATTAGTAGATGGAGCCATTGACGGAGGGCGTTCTTGGAAGGGGCGGAGGGACAGCATTGCTCTCTGCTTCTTGTGCACCTGCTGGGCTCAGCCTCACATCCACGTCACAGGTACAGAAGCTCCCACGGTGTGTGGTGGGGGGAGGGCACACAGGTACACAGAAGGTGCTTCAAACATTATGACCGATAGAAACTTCTTTAACATACGGGGCATTTTATTTATTCTTTTTAAGTTTAATTAGTTTTGAGAGAGAGAGAGAGAGAGAGAGTGTGGTGTGTGTGTGTGTGTGTGAGCGGGGGACAGGCAGAAAGGGAGACAGAGAGAATCCCAAGCAGCACAGAGCCCTACATAGGGCTCGAACTCACGAACCGTGAGATCATGACCTGAGCTGAGATCAAGAGTCAGACGCTTAACCGACGGAGCCACCCTGGTGCCCCAACACACGGGGTCATTTTAAACCTGTGGACTCGCAGATGTAAAGCAGAGTACGTGACAAATACCTTGTGATATCCTTTTCCTTCATAACTCGTGTCTTTTTTTGAATGCCATCTTGCTCTGTGTATGCCTCTCTGGGTTTCAGCTTTGAAGCACGGATAAGTGAAATTGGGAAGGACAAACTTACATAAAACCCCTTTTTTTATGGCATGATCATAACAAAGAGAAGGAAGCTCCCAGAATCCCGTATCCTTTCAAGAGAACCAATCATCTGGAAATCAAGTCTTTGGCGTTTCCGGTAATCTTCCAAGCCGTCTTCCCCGTGCTACTATGAAGGGGTACGGAAGCGGTGAATGCAGAAATGTCTAGAAGGATATGCACCAGGCTGCTGACATCAATGATTTCCAGAGGATGTAATGGAAAGGAATGATGACAAATTATTAAATTTTTCTTTACACGTCATTGAATTATCTTCATTTGTTACACGTAACACATATCACCTTTGTAATAAAAATGTCAGTAAGGAACATTGTTAAAGAAAAGCAACTACTTTGTTCATTAAAAAAAAACCCGCTGATTTCTGGGGCACCCGGGTGGCTAGGTCGGTTAAGCATCCGACTTCAGCTCAGGTCATGATCTCATGGTTCACGAGTTCGAGCCCCGCGTCGGGCTCCGTGCCGACAGCTCAGGGCCTGGAGCTTACTTTGGATTCTTTGTCTCCCTCTCTGCTCCTCCCCCGCTCATGCTCTCTCTGTCTCTGTCTCTCTCTCAAAAATAAGTAAACATTAAAAAATGTTTAAAAACCCCACTGATTTCTGGGCGACTGGGTAGCTCAGTTGGCTAAGCGTCTAACTTGGGTCATGATGTCGCAGTTTGTGAGTTCGAACCCTGTGTCGGGCTCTGTGCTGACAACTCGGAGCCTGGAGCCTGCTTCCGATTCTGTGTCTCCCTCTCTCTGCCCCTCCCCTGCTCACACTCTGTCTCTTGCTGTCTCTCAAAAATAAACAAACAGTAAAAAAATTTTTTTTAACAAAAAAATTAAAAATAATAAACATAAAAACCACTGATTGGGGCGCCTGCATGGCTCAGTCGGTTGAGTGCCCAACTCTTGACTTCGGCTCAGGTCATGATCTCGCGGTTCGTGAGTTCGAGCCCTGCATCAGGCTCTGCGCTGGCAGCACGGAGCCTGCTTGGGATTCTTTCTCTGCCCCTCCCCTACTAGTACACTATCTCTCTCTCTCTCAAAATGAATATTAAAATAAATTAATTAATGAATTAAAAAAAACACTGATTAAGAGAGTGTTTGTATATAATGCACATGGTCCGTCACGCTAAAAAGAATTAGTAAGCTCACCAAAGACTAAATTCCAAAGTCTAATTGTTAGTTTACAGCATCAGTTTTATGAGTCAGAAGCTTTAGGGTAGCCTCTGGGGTTTTACACCACCCCCCTGACCTGAGCCCCTGAGCCCAGGGCACTGCTCCGTGATTAGATGAAGTGGTGTGGGTAATGACTTAGCACAGTGCCTGGCAATGGCCAGTGCCCGACCCCACCGCGAGGCTCTGCAGAATCAAGGTCACCTACACCTGCTAGATGGGACTGCCCACCCACCTTCCCTCCAGGGATAAATGTCACAGGAGTCACTGACAGCAGGCAGGTAAGGTCTCCTCAAAATCAACATCTCCCTCTCTCGGAGCACCTGTCCTGACATGTGACAGAGGCCACTGCCTCTAACCCTCTCCAGCAGCAAATCCTTCTACCAAGTGGGGTGCTTCCCCCAACGGACCACGCTCTAGCCTTCTAAGCTGCTAGAATCTTCAGAATTTTCATCCTTGATACCGTTGGTATTTGGGGCCGAGTGCTTCTCTATTGTCGGGGGTGGGGCGGGGTCCTGCACATTGTGACACGTTTATTGGCATCCCTGGGCCCCACCCGCTAGATTCCAGAAGCCTCCAACCCGCACAGTTGTGACAAAAATATCTCCAGACACTGCCAAGGGTCCCCTGCGGGGCCAGAGTGCCCCCAGTGGAGAACCACTGTTACAGGTTCAGGTGGCCTTGGCCCTCCCATGAGGACCTGGGACTAGGATGACAGGTTGATATCCACACCCCCCGCCCCCGCATCCCCCGCCAAAAACAAAACCAAAAACCCAGGACATGAACCTTCGAGACCTTCCCAGGAGCAGTAGTAGCCTGTGAAAGCCAAGATTTGTCTACCATTTTAGTGCAAACTTTCTCCCTTATTGGTGGCCACCAGGAGGCTCTGGGCAAGGAAAAATTGTGGCAGGTCCCTGTGGGGCTGAGAGAGGGGAAGGGGTGTTCAGCCAGCTGGTACTCGCGAATCCATTCACGGGGCATAAAAGGAGCGGGACAGACTGGCAGGTGACAGTCAGTCCCGTGGCTTTAATGCCACCCATGCACCCACGAGCTCTCAATTTGTATTTCCAACCCTCACCTGTCACGGTAGCCAGCCTCCTGCACCCCGCCGCCCCTCTGCGTCTGCGGGTATTCTGCAGGCATCTCAGACTCAACATGCCACACCTCAACTGGGTTTCCCCCCAGACCTGTCTTCCCTAGTGACCCTCATCCCAGGAACTGGCACCACCGCGCACCGGACCGCTCGAGTCATTCTTGGTTCTCTTGTTCCTCTCCCTCACCTTCCACGTCCATCAGTCATGTCAGCTCTGCCTCCAAAACACGTCCCTATCGGCCGTGTCTCCTCTAGCTCCCCCTCTGCCGGAGCCACGGCTCTGCCTCTGACCCTCTGCGCACCGCCTCCCGAGGTGGGCGGGGCCTGCGAGGAACCGGAGGAGGGGCCTGCGCGGAACCAGGGGGCGGGGCCTGCGAGGAACCGGAGGAGGGGCCTGCGAAGGGCCGGGGGGCGGGGTCGCAGCCGGAGCTGGAGAGCGGGGCCTGCGCGGGGCCGCCCCCGCCCCGCATCCCACACTGCCCCGCGACCGGAAGAGGGGCCGCCGCTTCCGGAACCTGCGGGCAGATTGCTCGTGGGGCCGGTGGCAGCGGAGCTGCTTTGCTCGCGATGGCCGCGGCCGTCGCTATGGAGACAGGTAAGTAGCGCTCGGGACCCTAGCAAACACAGGTGCCCCGGGCCAGACATCTCTTCCCGCTTCCCCGGGGACTCCTTTGCGGCGCAGCTCCGGCGGGGCTCCTGTCCGCGGCTCCTTCTCACCTCTGCCGTTCGGACGCCGACCCCATCGGCCTCCCGGCGAGGCCCCAGCGGCAGGACGCGCTCCTGAACCGTCCCTTCCGCCGCTGGTTTTCCGCGTCCCCGATGAGCGTGCTTAAGTGTGAGATGTCGCCCGACTGTGAGCCTTTCTGCCCCTGACATTTCTCGAATCGGCGCACGTCCCGTCGGCCCGTTTGCAGCTTGCATTCTGGACTTTCCCCGGGGTACTTAGCGGGGCTCTGAGGCGCGGTTATTACGACCTTCTCCCGCTGATCAGTCTGGAAATCTCGGGTCCTGGCTCCCGGGTGGTGGGTGTCCTGCCCCGTGGGTGCGCCTTTTGCTCTTGTCTTTAGAGGAGCGCCTCACTTGATCTCGTTGAGCAGAGCGCTCTCTGCTTACCCCGGACTAGTGGGGAAGGGCCACCTTCCCCCACGCCCAGTTTAGGAAAACCACGCCGTGCCCTTACTTTTGCAGAAATACGTTCTCAGCGGCAGTCACGTCTTTTTCTACAAGTCAGTGTTCTAGATGGTGACCTTTATTTTGGGTGACTTTTGCTGTATTCCGTCCTAGATGATGCTGGAAATCGACTTCGGTTTCAGTTGGAGTTGGAATTCGTGCAGTGTTTAGCCAACCCCAATTACCTTAATTGTAAGTTGTTGGGCGCCTGATGGAATTGAGTACCTGTTAACATCTCTGACAAGAAGAATTGCAATTCGTAATAATGTCTACTTTTATGTATGCTCAGTTCAGTGGGATCACTGCTACACTTAAACGGGTGTGCGCGTGTGTGTGTGTGTGTCTGAACGGACTGGGACTTATGTTCTGAATTCAGTGTGTGGTGGTGGTGGGGATTTACATACGTAGATTCTGTATGCTAGGGGTCATCGATCGGTACTTCCAGGATTGGTTTGCTCTACAGATATATTTTTTGTTTTTATGCCTTTCAGTTCTTGCCCAAAGAGGTTACTTCAAAGACAAAGCTTTTGTTAATTATCTTAAGTACTTGCTTTACTGGAAAGAACCAGAATATGCCAAGTATCTAAAGTAAGTTTAATTTTTACAGTCCTAAATATGTATGTAGTGTATTATATTCCAAGACACTGACATTTAACAGACTTTGTAGTTTCACATTGGAAAAAATGTATTTTGAACCCCTCTACGTCTTTAGTTTCTCTGCCTCATCTCTAAGTTGGGTTACTGTGCAATCTCACTGCTCATCCCTGCCTCTCTTACCCTCATCCTGTGTCCTCCCGCCTCCAAGCCAAAGGAAGCAAAATAATTTTCTACACAGAAGCCATCTTGCTCTTTCAAAAACGTTACGACAGGACACTCTGCTGCTTAGAGCCTGTCAGTGCCCTCCCATCCCATGCAGAACAGAGTCCCTTCTCTTTACCTGGGCTCAGGCTCTGTCTTGTCTGACTGTACGTGTACTGCTCACCCCATCTCTCTGCGTTTCCGACCCCAACGAACCCACAGTCTTTAAAGGCAATGGCATAGTCGGCGGCTGAAAACTGAAGAACATAGGGCACTTATCAGCAAGATTTTCTGGAGGGGGTGACCTTATCTGATTCTTATTACGGCCACATCTCAGCTACTGTGGGTTTGTTCCAGACCGTTGCAAGAAGGTGAACCCTGCAGTAAAGCAAGCCAAATGAATTTTTCGGTTTCCCGGTGTATAAAGCTTATGTTCACACAATACTGCAGGCTATTAAGTGTGCAATAGTGTTAAAAAAAAAAAAAAGGTAGATATTTTAATAAAAAAATATATTGTTAAAAAATGCTAACCATCATCTAAGCTTTTAGGAAGTCATGATCACAGATCACCATAACAAATATAATAATAATGAAAAGTTTAAAATGTGAGAATTGTTAAAATGCGACATGGGGACGCGAGGTAAGCAAATGCTGTTGGAGAAATGGTGCGGGCAGACTTGCTTGATGAAGGGTTGCCACAAACCTTTAGTTTGTAAAAGAAAAAAAAGGCAGTATGTCTGTAGCTGTTGTCTTTCTTTAGAGCCTCGTATGTGCAAGACCTGTGTTCTTTAAACCTTGAACTCAGGCCTTTTCTTTAACTAGGTAATCAGAAGGCAATAGTGAAACTTGTCTTTTTTCTTTCCCTTGTCTTTTTCTTTGAAAAGAATTTTTTTTTTTTTAATTTTTTTTTCAACGTTTATTTTATTTTTGGGACAGAGAGAGACAGAGTATGAACGGGGGAGGGGCAGAGAGAGAGGGAGACACAGAATCGGAAACAGGCTCCAGGCTCCGAGCCATCAGCCCAGAGCCCGACGCGGGGCTCGAACTCCCGGACCGCGAGATCGTGACCTGGCTGAAGTCGGACGCTTAACCGACTGCGCCACCCAGGCGCCCCGTAAAGAATTTTTTTTTTAATATTTGTTTTGAGAGACAGGGCGAGAGCATGAGTGGGAGAGGAGCGGAGAGAGAGAGAGGGAGACACAGAATCTGAAGCAGGCTCCAGGCTCTGGGCCGTCAGCACGGAGCCCGATGCTGGGCTCGAACCCACGAACCGCGAGGTCATGACCTGAGCCGAAGTCAGATGCTTAACCGATTGAGCCACCCAGGCGCCCTTCTTGTCTTTTCCTTTTTTAAACAAACACATTTGAGAGGGAAATGACTCAAACTGGTACTTTATCCAACTCACTTTTTTGATCTGTGTCTAATAACTGGTTTTTGAAGCCCGCATCTCTCTGCCTGCAGGACCCCTTTGCTCCCTTACTGGTCCTTTTTAAACAGCCACTTATTTAATAATCACAGTGAAGACTTTATTAGGTGGTGTGTGTACGTAGACTTGGAGACTCTGTGTGGACACGGGGCCACAGGCACGGGGAGTTCTGTGTCCCCCCAGTGTTGGCGGGATGGCTGGCTGCGCTCTGGAGGGCTCCAGGGAGGGCCTGTTGCTCTGTTTAGGGACAGCCAGTTCCGTTGCTGGCTGCGTGACGGGAAGCGTTTCCTTTTATTGGGCTATGATGCCCCCGTGTGCAGCTTCAACCCAGATCTCCAGTTTTGCCCCTGAGTCAATCCGGAACCCGTCTGTGACCCCTTGAGGCAACGGCCCTTCAGATGTTTGCGTTCAAGAGAGGTTGCAGGCTAACCGCTGTGGGTGTGTGTCATCAGTCGCAGGAGGCTTTTGTTTAAGAGTTGCTGACCTTGGGGCGCCTGGGTGGCGCCG